GCAGTTCTAGAACATGACAGCAGTGTCTGTTCTTTCACTTGTATTTAGATGGCACTAAGGTTCTGGATTGTGAAGAACAATCAATGTTTATGGGTACAAGGATGACTTGATCACTTAAATAGGAAATCTGATGAACCTAGAAAAATGCCATCAGGACTAACACAGTCACTTTAGTAAACTTATAACATAAAAGGTCCATATTTGCTGGGTGTGCTCCTTTAATCTCAGCACTTGGAAGGCAGAGGCCGAAGGATCTCTTTGAGTTTCAGGACAGCCTGGTCTACATAGTGAGACCATGTCTCACATCCATCACCCATGTCAAGTGACTTGGAACCAGGTACTCACAGAGGACAGTTCTGGGATCCAACACCCTCTTCTAACTTCCATGGGCAACTGCACTCATGTGCATAGACCCATAGCAGACACATATAATTAAAGTAAAATAAAAGTACATTATGGGGCTGGAGAGATGACTCAGAGGTTAAGAGCACTGACTGCTCTTCCAGAGGTCCTGAGTTCAATTCCCAGCAACCACATGGTGGCTCACAACCATTCCTTATGAGATCTGGTGCCCTCTTCTGGTGTGCAGATATACATGGAAGCAGAATGTTATATATATAATAAATAAATAAAATTTTAAAAAAGTACTTAATGAAGTAAATCAAAAGATAAGCAGCAATATAAAGATCTCTGAGAGGTTGTGTGCTTGGAGTATGCAGCTTTTCGCAGTCTCACTGTGCCTTCATAGAGCTTTAAAAAATTAATATGTAGTACTTTAATGAGTGTTTAATGGACATTGTTTCATATGATTGATTCTCAGAGAAGTCTCACAGATAGTGTTAGCAATTGCAAGAAAGGAAACTTGAGCTACAAGTTCCGTAACATTTCGGTTCTCACTGGCTGATGGGAGCAGCTCACTTGGAGGCTCTACACTCAGTCTTCTTGAGTCTTAAGTGGTCATTCTCTTTCTCTTTTGTTTTTTTGTTTGTTTTATTTGGGTTTTTGGTTTGGTTTGGTTTTTGTTTTTTGAGACAGGGTTTCTCTGTATAGCTCTGGGCACCCTTGAATTTATTCTGTAGACCAAGCTAGCTTCAAACTCAGGGATCCACCTGCCTCAGCAGGGTTCAAAGGTGTGCACCACCACCACCTGGCAGTCATTCTCTCTTGTAATTACTCCTTTGGGAGAGACATTTTTTTTCTTTTTTTCTTTTTTTTTTTTTTTTTTTTTTTTTTTTTTTTTTTTTT